TGGTGACCTTTGGTGACCTGACCTGTGACCTGACCTGGTATGACCAGTGACCTCTAATAGCAACATATGTACTAGACAACTGACGCCTTATCGCCGATTTTTGACAAAATGCGTTTTACTCGGTGTTATAGCGCTTTCCCTAAAAGCCCCGCGAACGGTGAAACATTTTATCTTTGACCTGACCTGTGACGTCATCGGTGACCCCGAGGTTAATGAAATTTGGTTTCCTTCGACAAATTTGACAGGGCTATCGAACGCCGTTTGAATTTTCCGGATCCGTCCATTAGTTTCGGAGATACGGGGGGGGGGGGGGGGGGGCAAAAAAATGCCCCCCCCCCCCACCGCGCGGAAGGGTGCTGGTAGGCCCACCGCCTGCCGGGTTAATTGCATGATAAACGGCACAACTTAGCGCTCCGGTCAACTGATAGCTTCTGAGGAGTGGAACATCATTATGTAGTCGACTATACATGATGACCTCGAGGTCACGTGACCTGAGGTCAACCTTTGACCTTGACCTTTCGAGGTCAAAATATATCCCTCGCCCGTAAACGGTGTTTTGCCACCTTCGCCCATGCAGGGGGGGGGGTTGCTGCGACCCCCCCCCTGGCGTTTGAAAACGGAGCGTCGTAGAGCTTAGCGGAAAAGACCAACGGATTGCTCTCAACGAGATCTCGCGATTGGTGGTATATTTTTTGGTCCTAGGTCAACATTTGACCTACTTATGACCGGTCAAAGGTCAACTTTTCGGAAAAATCTAACTTTTTCAGATTTCCGCGCCGATTGCGGCAAAACGGTAAGAGATATCGACTTGAAACCTTCACTATCGTGATCCTTGATCAATTCTCTATCGTGTGGTGTGTATTTTGATGTCATAACTCTAAAAATGATGCGTTGGGAGCATCGGAAGTCTGCAAGGTCATTTGTGCATTGGGTCACGTCAGGCGTGTGACGTCACTGACCTGACCCTGACCCAAAATGAACTACAAGAAACAACCGACGATGCCTGAAATGGATAGCAAATTCGAATTCAGGGCAGCAAAATACCCCGATAAGGCATACAAGTGCGAGAAGTCATTACAGGTCAACCGAGGTCACTGACCTGACCTTGACCTTAAGTAACCTTGAAAAGGTCAACGGACATTGTGCCAATGTCAAATCAGCCAGTTATGATTCTAAAATAATCCATCAGTGTGTCAGGTCAGTCGGCATTTATACCAATGTGAAGCAATCTCCAATTTAGCGTAAATTTGGCCGGAGGTTGTTCCCTTTATGACGTCATAACTCCATGACCTGACATGACCTTGACAAAAAAATACCAAAAGTTGCGCAAAGGATGCCCCATAGGGTACTGAAAATTTGAGCACTGGTATCTGAAACGGTTCGGCGTGTAGCTAAGAAAAACCTCAGGGGGGGGGGGTTGCACCAACCCCCCCCCCCTACATGGGCGATATCCCTCGCCCCCCTACATGGGCGAGGGATATATGATTCGATGCGAATTGACGAGAGGATCACGATGATGCCCTTAATGTGTTCCTAGCTTGACTAATTCGAACGTTATTCGAGAAAAATTCTCTCCATATCTAGCGCCGCCATTTTGACTTTATTGACCCCTGTTACGTCATCTTTGACCTGACCTGAAAATAACCTTTGTAAAAATTGTAGAACTTGTCCATGCGTACCCCATGCCGTTTACCGCTTGTCGCTATCTTGTTTCGTTCTCGAGATCTCAGGGGGGGGGGGGGTCATCGGCCCCCTCCCGTCGGCTCTAAGTTGGAGCAGACCCCCGCCGGTGCGCGGGTTTTAAAATCAATATCACCAGTATAACGCCTTTTGGGGCGACTAACGGAGCGAGCGAGAGGGTGAGCATTGCACGTGCGAAATTTCGACGAGGTACCTCCAGCTGACTTGTGCACGCAAAAAGACACGCTCCGCCCATAGCCCGCAATGCTAAAATGGCGCCAGCGCCCTCGCCGTCGGGAAATCGGCGGCGGCTGCTTTCCCGGTCTCTAGCGATGCACCCTACTAATCGGTCTCTAGCGATGTGCCAAATTTGAGCACAATCGGCCCAGCCGTTCTCGAGATCTGGAAGCGGTACCCTGCACGTGCGCACGTGCAAACTGGGTCCCAACTGACTTGTGCACGGCACCCTACTAATCGGTCCCTAACCATGTGCCAAATTTGAGCGCAATCGGTCCAGCCGTTCTCGAGATCTGGAATCGACCCCTGCACGTGCGCACGTGCAGCAGCACCCCAACTCTGGCACATGGATATGCATTGCCTAGTGGGTGCCTACCTACATGCCAACTTTCAGCGCAATCGGCCAAGTAGTTACCGAGATATTGCAACAATTGCAAAAGTGACACTTCTTCGTTTTGCACGTGGCACGTGCATAAGGGGTCACCCACATGCATCGGGAATAGCCCAATACTTGGTAGAAGGAATGAAGCTACCCTACAAAAATTACCGCATGTAAATCGGTCAAGTGGTTGCTGACGCTCATACTCAGAAATTTCCGTTATTCTACGTAAGACTCCGCTCGCTTCGCTCGCTCCGTAATAAGAAATTGCATAGCGGGGCTGCGGAGTCGATGGATTTTAAGGTGACTCCGACTCCGAATTAAAAAATCAACTCCGACTCCGAATCCGACTCCAACTCTGACTCCGGACATTGCTAATTAAGTTCATATAATGAAATAAAATTTCATGTTAAATCTTTTTATCTTGGCTGAAGTGACCATTTAGTGGTTAGCCGTTCCAAGGCTTTGTATTGCAAACAAATAGGTACTTTTGCAGCATGCAGAAAGAAAACAGGTTTTAACGCAACAGCCGTCTACATCTTTTTTTTCAATGAAAACTGAAAACGCTCGTCCAATTCAGAGGTATGCCCTAAGCTTCAACAAAGTCTGATTTGCAAAGGTCAACGAGCGAAATATCGTCAAACAGCCAAGTGTAGGGCATGATTTTTAGCCTTCCAGTGTTGACTACGGCTCCGGAGTCGGGGTCGTCGCTAAGATTTTAGCGACTCCAACCCCGACCCCGACTCCGGGCAAAACTGCCGACTTCGACCGACTCCGACTCCGACTCCGTAGCCCTGGTTCATAGGGAAGATGTTTTTAGCCTGAAACGATCGTTTGCGTGACAAGGGCTTGCATGGCAAATAGGTAAGTTAGGTATGCTATAGGTATGCATAATTAAAAGCAGGTTCTGGCGAATCCACTATATTCTGCTACTTTCGCTGAAATGCTCGTCTAGAACAGGAATATGGCCCTTTTTCGACAAAATCTGACTTCGAAAGGTCAACGAGCGAAGCACCGTCAAGCAAACAGGTGCAGGGCATCAAGGCTGCAGAGTCGAAGGGCTGCAGTCTATTGATTTTTTGGTTACTCCAGCACCGACGACTCCGACTCCGACTTCAAAAATCGACTCCGATTCCGATTCCGACTCCACTGCTCCGACTCCGAGCATTTCTGTCCATGTAAAACCATAACATGATGTCAAATTTATGTCAGTTTTTTTTTCTTGCCAGAAACAATCCTTTGCCGCGATCCATGGCCTTGCATTGCAATAACACTTTACAAATAGCATACTGAACTAAAAGCACATGCTGGCGCACATGATTGACGATGTGTCTTGCTCTTTTTGCTGAAATCGCTCGTTCAACTCATGAGTGATACATGAGATTCGACAAAATCTCAACGAGCGTAACTTTTGTCGACCAAACGGGTGTAAGGAATGACAGCCATGCAGTGTTAGCTCCGACTTCGGAGTCGGAGTCGGTAAGATTTTGACGACTCCAACCCCAAATCCGACGCCGACTTCGGACAGAATTGCCAACTCCGACCGACTCACACATAGCCTTTTGAAAAAAAGCATTGGTCATAATGTGTAAAGTTGATGCCCGGGAGGGTACTGAAACGGTTTGGTGACGATCGGCGCAGCAGTTCTGGAGATGCAAAAGTTTTATTCATATTCATTGGATGTATAATGTTTTTATCAAGTGTCAATAAACTAACTAACTAGCTATCGCAAAGTCTAGGGGGGGAACAAAAATAGCCTCCCCCACCAGGGCGCGGGTTAAAACGAAAATAGCGTAATATGACGTCACTAAGACGTAATTTTCTGAGTAAAAATCCGATGGGATTCACTCAAATTTTCAGGGAAAATGTCAAATCGATGCATGATAGCGCAACGCAATTTTGACGTCGTAGGCAAAATACGTTTAGCATGGGTGGAGCTTTTCCAGGAAAGTTGGTGGGGCAAAAGGTTGTCAAACCTACAATATCCGATTGTTAAGTTAGATAACATCCAACAATGAATCATTACTTTTCATTACAGAGATACTATTTTGCATTACACAGACATTTCAAAGCTCTTCAATGCGAAAAACATTGGTTTGCGAAGCAGTCAAGTCCTGCAAATCGGCTTAAGTTGGTGGGGCAAAATGGCAAATTGGTGGGGCAGGCGCCCCGATATGTGAAGTGAATAGGAAGCTCCGCCCCTGACGTTTAGAAGCTACTTTTCGCGCTTCGTTTGTTCTGCACAAATCAAGTCGATAAAAACACTAAAAACAACATGGCTAATCCCAGCGTGAACACTGAGGAGTTGAGGGCGGCTTTTGGAAACGTGATCGGCATGGCCCACAACCAGGCCATTACTCCTTCCTGGCGTCACATTACAATCCGCTCCGCTTAAAAGCTACTGACGAAAAACAGGAGGGCCAGATTTTCCACCTCCCCTAGCAAGGCGAATAATTGTACATACACCGCAACACCAACAACACCGCTCTGTCGAGCATGTTCTAGCAAGTGACTCAGCATTAATTTGATAGTCCGCTGAAAAACCCGTAGATCCAGTCTAAGCTGGTAGGACATGGACCTCTGACCACTTTTTGCCCACACTCGGCCGGCGTCCCCCTGTCCGCCCTGGAACAGATAAGATTGGTGCATACACGCGGGCCGTAATCGAGGGAACTGGAACCATCACTCTCGTCACTCGATGGACTGACCAGTTGGCCACACAGTACAGGCGCTGCTCCCAGGTAGTGGTGGGTTGCCTGCCTCCGTTGCCTCCGCTGTTGCCCGATTCCAGGTAGGTTTCGCTTTTCGCACTGCTTTAAAACCCGCGACTTGCTAGGGGGTCGTTAAAGGGAGATAATGAGCTTTCTTTTTTCTTAAATAAAAATTACTCGACATCTATACTATTTCTACTGTAGCTTCTATAAAATATGAAAATTTCCTAGCACATTTTCGTATGTGAAAAAGGTTTTTATTTTTGCAAAAAAGAAGCAGTACTTGCAGTACTTGTAACACCCACCGAAATGCGTTGTCCTTCTCTATAAAAAAGTCGCAGTATATGGCGCTTATGTTTCAAAGAGCGACGCTTGGGTTTTTGTTTATGTTATCGCCTTGTCGTTGCTTGGTTGTAAGGATTCTAATTTGAATTAGAGTTAATTCGGTTTAGAATTAATTAGATTCTAATTCGGGGGTACCTACATAGTGCCTACTCTTCTTTGTTTCTAAGTATTATTTTGCGCCACAAATGAACGGCATGCGCCAGAAACGCAGCCAAATCTTGCGATTGCGACTACGAAATTCATTATTTTGGCGTCAGAGCCTGAAGCGAAAAATACAAGCATATTTATTTCAAAAAGACTTCAGGTTTGTCGAACGGTGTTATGGGAATTTTGATAACAGTACTGCATAAGTGTTTCAGTGATGCCGCAAAAGTGTTGTATCTATCTTCTTTTATTGTGCAGTCGGCGGGACCGATTCAAAATTGAGTCGTTGCTACTAAAATAGCAGCATATGGCGTCAGATGATGAACAGGAAAAATAGTTGCGTAAATTTAGACATAAACCACCCCCAAACCATGAATATCTTTTGAAGGCACTATAGACGACCATTAACTAACTAGATGTGATGAAGATCAAATGTAAGGAATACGCTCATTTTACAAAATTACATGCAAGTACCAAAAAGTGATGTCAAGTACTTATTCAACGGTCATTTTCAGCGCTCCCCGCTAACGTGACTTCAAGTTGAGATATTTGCGGCAAGGTACCGAATTGAGCAAAATGGTTTTAATTTACATTATAACTTGTTGTGTTTTGTCAGAAAATGGTCCTAACTCAGATTTTGTGGAAAAAGGTCATTATCTCCCTTTAAACACTCACACTTTTTTCGCCACCCTGTAGCTAAGAAACCGGTAACGAATTGATTGGAGTTTGTTGTAACGTTATTTTTGAAGATATTGGGCTAAAACTTCCTAGAATAGTTTATCCGTGTGTGTTCTAGCACATATATTCCGGTTTGTGCGAAAAAAATCAAAAACTTTTGAAAAAAAAATCAAAAAACATATTTTTGTAATCGCAAATACCTACGTACCTACCTACATATTTTACCTTTCCGTCGATATCTCCTAAACGGCTGGAGATATCGCCACCAAACTTTCTGGACCCCTCCGGGCATCAATTTTACACATTGTGACCAAAAAATTTTCCAGTGGCTATGATAGGTTGGCCACAAATGACGTCAGAATGACGTCATGTTCTGCCATTTTCGACCCAAAAAAGACCTTTGCGAGAAGAGCTGTCAGGCCTACAGCTTTGAAGATACAGAAAATTGATCAACACATAAAAGGTGTAGAATTAACAGGGCTACAAAACTGATATCTCGGATTTTTGAAATTTTTGAGTTTTGACCCCAAATATCAAAAATGCAATTTTTTGGATATATTAGCCAAAAAATCCAAAAAGTTTTTTGAGTTTCGAAAAACGAGGAATATATGTGATAGTACCTACCGTCTTCTATCTATATACAAAATTTCAGATAGATGTCTCCTTTGTTGGCCAAGTTATAGCGAAAAAACTGTTCAAAAATGATGACGTTAAATTTTCAAACTCAATTTTTGGCAATTCTAAACCACGTAGGGCAAAACAAAGACAACCATTGGACTCCCCGTGACGAGCTGCATCGAATGGATACCCATTTTATGCAAAAATATCAACTTTGAAATTTGACCTAATTTGACCTGACCTTGACCTGACCTTCACCGGAACATAATCTTAACTGACCCCAAAGGCTGCCTGACCCACATAATCGCATTTGTCATGTAAAATGGACCATAAAACATGCATCACACGACACTTTCAAATTGTGACCCCCAGTGCCTGACCTTTGTGACCTGACCTGGTATCAGTGACCTCAGATAGCGAAGTATGTGTTTGACAAACAATGTACCATCGATGGTTTTCAATAACTTACCAATTTACTCGATTTCACAACACATTTCTTGAAATGCCTGTGAACGGTGAAAATCTGACCTTTGACCTGACCTGTGACGTCATTGGTTTGACATAGGTCAATGAAATTTGGTCACAAGGTAGTACCCCGGTGGGGCTATCGAACGCCGTTTGAATTTTGAAAATCGGCCGGTAAATTTCCGAGATCTCGGGGGGGGGGGCCGAAACGCCCCCCCCCCCCTACGGGTGGTAGGGTCCGCCGGTAGCCCTACGGGGCGCGGGTCGCGGGCCGAGGGGGGGGGGGGCGGGTGCCGCCCCCCATAGGGTTTTTTTCGCGATAGCTCCGAACACGCTGGCGATAGAGAGCTGAAACTTGGCATACCTGACCTTTGATCCAAGCCGCATCTTTTGACACCAACCGCATTTTTGGGTCAGGTCAGGTCACTGACCTATGACGTCATAAGTGAACCTCTGCACGGTCTTCAGATGTCGCAACTTCGCAACGCCCTCACTGCCAGAGGAGATGTCACAGGGAAATGAAACTTGCAGGATCTAGTATCCATTATGAGTCCCACAACTTGTATATCTCGGATTTTTCCTAAAGGTCATATGAGGTCAGGTCATTTTCGTGACCTCACCATTGGGGCATTCCACGTCAAGTGGGACAAAAAATGATCATTTTGAACCTCACCTCCTCCGATTTTTGCGAAACTTTGTGAAACTACTCATCTATATGTGAAAAGAATGGAGACATATTTTTGTCAAGATATGACGTCACGTTTCCGAGATACACGTCATCAAACATTGACTTAGGCAAGGCACATTATCATCTTTAGAGCGTCATAACCATTGAAGTTTTAGACATATCACCACGAGATAAAGTGTGAAATGGAGGGAATAGGTCAGGCTTTAATTTGAGGATAACAATATTGACGTAATTAAGTAATTAGTGAACTTAATTAAAATTCAAAAAATAAATTTTGATTTTCTGAAAAATGGGTACCCTTCGATTTTGCTGATTTTTACATATTTTATTCTCCTATAAATTAGCTACATCATATAAAAAATCCAGAATGGGCCGACGTCTACGTAACTGTCTTTTGGACTTCGGAATGTCTGGCACTCGCGTGTTTCGTTTTAGCAACCAAGGAAAGGCGCTACCCGGAGATGCTTCTTTCTACCCCAAACCAAAGCAAACCCAACCTGACCTGACGTGACCTGACCTAATCTAACACGCGTAAATATGTACAGCCCTCACGGCAGTTGTCGACTGGCCAAATGCTACCTAGATACGAACATTAGCCCTCACGACAGTTGCCGGCTGGCCAGATGCTACTTAACCCGCGCGGGGCTGGGGTCTCCAGCCGAACGCGCGGGGCTGGGGGGGGGTAAATTTTACCCCCCCTGTTATCTCCCGAACTAATGGTCCGATTTGGAAAATTCAAACGCCAATCGAAAGCTCTCATCACGAACTACTAAAAACATGTACTTAATTTAAAGTTTGAGGTCAAGGTCAAGGTCAGGTCAAGGGTACAAATTGCAAGTTTCTACAGTATCGGCCTTGCACCGTAGTTGCCGAAGAATGGAGTCATGGACTGAGACTGATGCCCCAAAACGTGTTCTTAGGCTACCAAAACAATATTCGTTGCATACAATATCATTCAGAGGTCAAGGTCAAGGTCAGGTCAGGTCAGGTCAGGTCACCAAAAAACAAAATATAGAAAAGGGCATGTGCGACACATGTTTTATGGGTCATTTTACTCATAGAATTCAATAGGCACACTCAATAAGTGATATGGACCACCTCTGGATGAATTTCAGGTCGAGGTCAGGTCAAGGTCAGGTCAAGTGAGGTCAAATTTTGAAGTTGGTTGTTAAGGCCTAAAAAGGTGTCTATCTGATGCAGTTTTTCACGGCGAATCGAATGGTGCTAATTTTGGTTCCGTACGAGGTCTAGAACTTCCAAAAAAGTCATTTTTCAAAAAAATTGTGTGTCGTGACGTCATAAAATTTTGAATAACTCCCACATTTTTGAACTGATTCTTCTAAAATTTGGTATGTAGGTGCACATAGACCACTTCTCTGACATATATTCCGGTTTTTTCGATAGACTCAAAATTTTGGATTTTATAATGATTTTCCCAAAAAAGTCAGTTTTTTGAAAAAATTTAGGCCAAAATCCAAAATTTTCAAAAAACCGAGATAGCCATTTGATAGACAAAGTAAAATTACGTATAACCTTTTTCATTACGTCTTGATTCCTTTAAAAATGAAGATGTTAGCGGCGTTTGAACTTTTGCCGTTTTTGAGGTGAAAATGGCGAACATGACGTCACTAAAACGTCAATTTCTCAAAAATTTTCCGACGGATTTCGCTCAAATTTTCAGGGAACGTGTCAAATTGATGTAAGAAAAGGTACTGAAAGTTTGGCGGCGCTGCGCGCCGCCGTTTTTGAGATATCGCAAAAATTCGCGAGGGGGGGTAAAATTTACCCCCCCCAGCCCCGCGCGGGTTAAAAAACAAATGCGTGTTTAACACTTCAGGCTGACCCGCTGCGAGCCAGCGACCTTTAGATTTCGAGGTGGGTACACTCGGCACACTTACTACTAAGCCACGAAGATAGCTGGTCATCGTAAGCCAGTTGATGAAATTGGGCATTCTCCGGGCAGCGCCTCTCTTTGGTTGCAAAAAGAAAATACGCCTGACTCTCCCAGCGCTAGGGAAGAAAAGCCCGGTTTAGCCAAAAAAGGTATTTTAAAAAAACGGATTTTGAATTGTAGGCGGGGAACTTTATCGTGTGCCAATTTCATGGTCCTAGATCAATATATTCAAGATCAAATGAGGTTAAACGTGATCAAATTTGCTATAGTGACTATTTTGCGTTTATACGCCCATAGCTCTCTAAGAGATACTGGCCGATTTTCCTAGTTCTTCCTTTATACGACATTTGTAGTGTTATGAGAATCTCTAGTTAATCTTACCATAAATTTGGCAGTTAGTGGCTTGCTAATAGTAAGATGTCGCCGGCAGAGGCGGGGATCGGCCGACGCGGGAAACGTCATAGTCACATATTGTGTTTGCACCCTAATGATTTATTTTTACCAGTTGATTTTCGCATTTATTTGAACATTAGATTGCCTGTACATTTTTAAGCCTTCACACAAAATTTGACACGAATCGATCATAATCAGCGGTAAGAAGCGCGGTGCAAAGATGGAACCGTCCCGCGCCGGCACAGTCTACCATTCAGGCGGCAACGGCCGGCGCCGGCCGCCGAGCCGCTCCGACAGGAATGTTTGACTTTACACCGCTATTACTAGAAAAGTTGTGGACCGATTTACCTATTTTTTGCACGGGAGGATTTGCAATTCGATTCTGGACAGATCCTGAAAGTTTGACGTTAATATAATAACTATGGCGTGAGTTATTGGCGAAAAACAGGTGGGGTTGGCGAAATCCGCCCCTTCCATCGGCCGTGCTACGTTGCACTACTTGTTGCTATATCATCCAAAGTTATCGTTGGCCCACTCTAATTTTCTCAGCACCTGTGCCTTACGTGTAGTAGAAGACAATATCTAAATTTGAGCAAAATCGAAGGGTACCCATTTTTCACAAATTACATTTTCAGATATAGATTCAAAATAAGATAAATTCAAAATCACCGAAAAATGTAAAAATTGTCAAATTTTACTAGCATAACTCCTTATGTACACGTTTCAGTTTGTTTGAAATTAATAACTTCAAAAATGTTGAAGCTATAGAACTTTCAAGATTGCAATACACGTCCAATTCTGCTCATAAAGCAGAAGTTTAGCGACTTGTATCTCTGTAGCCCGAGGGCATATGACAAAATCCTTTCACTCTCAGAGGTTTCACCCAATAGCCAATAAGTATACCAAGTTTGAACAAAATCGCAGAGGTGGCCGATTTTGGCTGTCCCGGTTGACATGGAATGCCCCCATTATAAGTCAATGGGGAAAAATGAAAACTGCTATTCTGGCGCCGGGAACGATCTCCAACTATCTCAAGCACACAGAATCGTGATTTGATGCACTCCTTGCAAGGTTAGATGCGTCACTTTTGCAATGTTGACCTTGCGTGACGTCATTTATGACGTCATCAAGGTCATATTAGTTTTTCGTCAATAACTCTTGATCAAATTGAGCTAGCGAGTCGGGAAAGCCACCAATGGACTCAGGAAGACCTGCCGAATCGAATGATATGCGACATGACCTCTTTCGACCAACTTCGTGACCTGAGGGTGCTGACCTGACCTTGACCTGAGGTCAACACCCCAAGTTGACCTGACCCGGACAAAAAGTATATCATTCGACGCGCCTGAGCAAGACGAACACGATGCTGCCAAAATCGGCGCTCTGCGGCCGTTTTTTGCGAAGTTATTCACCAAAAACTGAACCGTACCTTGGGGCACTTGACCTGACCTCAGAGGTCACCGGTTGACCTAGGACCTTAAAATCGGGTACCAATCTCTGCGTCTCGTAACGGCGCACACGCTCGTTTTTTTCCGCGACGCGCTAGCTCCACCAGGGGCGAAACGGCGAGGGGGGGTCGTACCCGCCCCCCCCCCCTCGGCCGGCGCGTATGTAGAAAACCAATAGGTCCGGCGAGGGTTAACGTCCTTTGAGTTATGAAAATCGGTAGGTAACTTTCCGATATAAAATAGGGTGAGGTCGAAACGCCCCCCCCCCACACACACACACAAACACACGCAGCGAGTGGTTGGATCCTGAAATATTCCAACCCGGCACAGGTTAAGATATTTATACGTCCATTGTCTATCAGCTTTTCCGAATTCCGTTGGCCATGCACCAAAACTTTTTTTCTGTTGTTTTTACAGGCTCAATGATTGTTTGCATATGATTATTCATCGGCATCTGAAGTGCTACGACGTCAAGACGAGCATTTCTGACGAGCGATCCAACAGCGATCGACCAGTTCAGTGTAAGGCCAGCACTCTACGACCTTACCAGCAATGCTAGCTTGGAGTGGGATATCTTCCCGGCGGCGGCGGCGCTCCATGAAGGCGTTTATAGGCATCTCCACGATCAGCATGCTCTACGTGGCGTCTGGTCGGCTGGTCCGTGAGGCCTCCCCATCCTTCAGCGCCGACCGCTGTTCCGACAACCTTCTGGGAAGGCGGCTGTTGGCCGGTTCGTGTCCTCATGAGCCGATCGACGCCGTCTACACCTGGGTCAACGGCTCGGACCCGGAGTTTCGGCGGCAGCTGTCGGAGACGTTGGTCCACCTGGGGCACCCGCCGGCCAACGAATCGGTAAACGACAGCAGGTTTGCTGACAACGACGAACTGCGCTACTCTCTTCGATCTCTGGAGCAGCACGCGCCGTGGGTGCGACGCGTTTACCTGGTCACCAACGGACAGGTACCCGCCTGGCTGGACCTGGACAACCCACGCATCACCGTCGTCACGCATGAGGAGATATTCCCCAACAAGTCGCACCTGCCCACCTTCTCCAGTCCGGCGATCGAGTCTCATTTGCATCGCATCAAAGGCCTCTCAGAGCACTTCCTGTACTTCAACGACGACTTGTTCCTCGGCCAGCCAGTGGTTCTGGAGGATTTCGTGTCTCCCAGAGGCGAGTACCTCACCTACTTATGGCCATCGCGGGGAGGCGCCTTCAACCAGTCGTCCGCCCACTCGCGTAGCCTCACACACGTGGACCGTCTCTTCACGCAACGTTACGGACCCGAGGTGCGCCGCGCTGCTGCACACGTACCGCTCCTCCTGAAGCGCTCGATCGTCGCAGAGTTGCAGGCCACGTTTGCAGCAGAGTATGAGCATACTTCCGCGGCACAAGTGCGCACCAACAATTTCATGCAGCCGGGTTTAACGTACTACTACTTCCTACGTTCAGAGCGGCGTCCGGTGTCGTCAGGCGGATTGTTCGAGATGTTTGACACAGACCGATCCGGCACCTTGTCTGAGCGCGAGCTTCTCTCGGTGATGAGTGGTCTTCTAGGACGCTCCTACTCCGTGCGTGATGCCCGCCTGCTCTGGGACGAGTTGAGGAGGTGTGCCGCGGCTGGCGATACGCCCACAGACAGCAGCGCCGAGCTGAACCGGTCAGCCGTGCTTGGCTGCACGACGGCCACCACTCGCCTGTCGCAGCGCATTGGCGAGCGTCGGTACCGCACCCGCGACGGCGCGCGCAGTGCCTGGTTCTACGGGCAAGTGCCGTCCCAGCCGCAGAAAGCCAACCGCAAGCTGATGGAGGTTCTAGCCAAGCCTCGCCGATTCATCTGTCTCAACAACGACTTTTCAGACAGCACAGCGGGGCGGATCAAGTGGGTGCGCGATATGATGAGGTTCCTGCTCGCGACACTCTTTCCCTGGTCTTCCCAGTTCGAGCTGACGTCGCCGACCTACGGTAACGCGTCAAGTTGAGCTCGTGCTGGCTGCTGCTTAGGTCAGATGTCAGAAGTCACAGGAGGTTGATCGGAGATTATAAGATATAGAACACATTTCCAGCAGCGTGAATTATACAGCATCTCTGACCCGACAAAACAAAAACAGCAATACCTTTCATCGCCAAAACAAAACAGACCAATGACAATTGACAACCGATCCAGATCAGACTCATGGTCACCAAACAAAAGCTGATCAATGACCGCTAAACACCTGCCGAATGGTGACCATCGGACCAATGATGATCAATGACCACCAAACCAGAGAAGGCCAACAACCAACCGACTAGACCAATCGAACTGCTCGAGTCACATCAACGACCGAAAGGCCAAGACAGGTTAATGACCACCGTTGGAACATACCATACACCGAAACAGTGCAATATGGAAGGGACACGACTGGACCGGTATTCGGACAGCGGCACAACTGCTGCAAAGGCAGTCAACCAGGTAAAGTCGGGCACCCCCAGCGCCGACGATTGTCGCGGCTCAACTCAGCCGGAATGGTCCGTTTGTTTGTTTTGTTGGAAGAAAAACTCTTCCCACCTGAAAAGGCCATTGCAGATATGTGATGATGCATAGGGCATAACTGATCTTTGCTGAGTGCTGACCATTGACGGTGCGCCACAGCGGCAGATCGACCATCCCGATGGGACAGAGACCATCCCGATGGGACAGCGCGCCCTGCCGCCGCTCGGACGGCCATCCCGGGCGGGGTGTTGTCCAAAGACGACTGTTGGTGACCGCCAGGCGCCGGCCCGTATTGTTAGCGGGGACACGGAGGGGTCTGGGAGCGATGCTTGGAGGGGTTTTGAGGGTTTCAACTAACGGCCGCAGAAAGGAACATGAGAGCACTGCACTTAGTTCCTTTGGGAGTCTTTATGGTGGAGAGTAGCTTATTGTTTCAAACGTGTCTCGATTTTATCAAACGTATTATCCAATTACGAACTTCTACTGCTTAGCGTGAAGAGAGCCTCAGAAGTCGGTACACAGTCCAAGTTACAAAGCTCTCACCGCGACAATTCCACAGCCGTTTCCGGCTTTCGCTGTAATTTTGAATCGAATGCGTCCACAGCCGACCGTGCTCGCCGGAGACCAGCGTAAGTCTGTCAACGCGAAACGGTCGACATATCGAGCCCGGCAGGCCTGCATGGTATAACTGTCATGTGAGTTCGCAGCGAAATGTGTACTGTGTCGGCTACATGGACTTGTATGCACACCATATATTTAATAAGTGAAACATCATCAGTGGGCAATGGGCATGTATGTAATATACAAATATCGACTGAAAATGAGCTTTGTACGGTTTTTACACCACTAAAAAGGGACAGTTGATGAGTGTGATTCAACAATACATACACGAAAAATCATGAGGCCTATAGGCATCTTACGAAATCCGAGTTGCACAGCCAGTCTTGAAAGTACCGCGCAACCATTGCACCGGTGGATCCATCACGCCCGACCGAGGAAGGGCTGCTAAATTTTAGTCACCGAACCAATTAGCCTGGGGGATGGATGCGGATGTCACTTGGCTCGGTGACCGTCAGATTTAGCAGCCTTCCACGGTCGAGCTTAAAGGGATCCACCGCACCGATGCGCGGTACTTTCAAGACTGACTGTTCACTTTACACAGTCCGTGCCAATATCAAGTCCAGTCCATTAAAGAACAGCTGAAGTCATTTAACAGCTGTGACAATGGGCCATCGAGCTCCAACAAATCAGCTGAGTTTCAGCACATAGGCGTCACATCACACCTGTCACACTTTGGCGCGCACATACGCCATTTTCTAGCGACCGCCGCTCAACCGTCAACCTTGGCAGTGAAACTGGCCCTGTGGCAATGCTTTGCCTCACATGGTGCCCCGTAACTCCTTGACAGCACCCTCCCTCTAATGTGAAGAGAAGGAACTAGGCTGATGATCACCCTCACCAGCCGATAACGAGCCGGCGGTAGTGCGGACTGTCAGCTAACCAGGGTCACAGGCCCGCTACCAGTGATCAGCACATCTAAATTGTGACCAATCGCCTGCTGTAAATCAGTACACCTCACCCAACTGGAACACAACCCAACAAAAAACACACAAGTGTACTGTAAACGGCTTGGTGATTCTTCGCGAAATCATCCCGAAACGCATACGACTTGAATGCCTATAAGTGTTTCAAATCACCCACGACAGCCTTGCCGATACCTCAGTTGAGCATTATTGAACGAAGTGAGCCGGGCATGATTTGCTGGAGCCAGCACGAATAAAACAGCCTTCAGAGTTCACACGTCGCCGACTCTAGCACTCACACGTCTCACCACTACGGCCATCATCCCGGTTTTTCCCCCGGCAATCAGCACTCTGTAGCGCTCCTCTCTGACCTGTCCTCCGTCCCCTCTGCTGCCGGGGCGGCCCGGCGGCCCGGCTCGGCCTCCCCGGGCCGCGAGCTGAGCTGGCCGCCGCCACAGCTGGGCGTCACACACGTCTCGGCGCCGCCGCCGGCCGTGCCGTAGGTGGGCCAGCCGGGCGGCTGCCGGCCGGCCGGCGGCGGCGGCGCCGCGCGCTGCCGACGGACCGCAGCGGCCGGCGCCAGTCGCAGGCTCCGCTCAGTGTCGCGCACGTCCTGACTCAGCTCGGCCGCCAGCTCGCTCAGGCTGTCCAGGATGTGGGAAAGGTCGGTGGCCGGCTGCGCGTCGATCAGCTCCGAGAGCGAGCTCAGCTCGGCGGCCACCTCGTCCGCGTCGAGCGCCAGCATCTCCTCCGGCGGCTCCGGGTCCGGACCCAGAGTGGGACCCGTCTCCGGGGCCGGGCCCGGCGCATCGTCAGTCTGCGGCGCAGAGGTGTCCGCGCCGGAGACCGGCGGAGCGCGCGGCACCAGGGGCGTTAGGTCCACCCGCACCGCACGCAGACGCAGCGACGCGTTTCTGTGGCCCTGGCAAGCGAGAAAAGAGTAAGGCTTGAGAATAGAGTAGACAGATTAAGCCCTCATATATCATGCATGTCAGCAGGATGGTTTATGCTAATTAGCAGGCCTGCAGCTCCAAAAAGCCACGTCTAAATTCGCGCATATTCAATAGAAAGCTCAGAAGTTGGAGGAAGATCTAGCCTTGAAATGACAAGCGAATACAGAAAGCATCTAGTGCTCTGTCCGTACCTGTGAGTGGAAGCTGAGGTATTTGCTGATGTCCAGTGAGAGCTCCGTATTGGCGACGGTGGCGCCGTGGCGACTGCGCTCCGAGTTGAAGGTTCGGCTGCTGGCCGCCAGGCGGCTGCGGACTCTGCTGCAGAGCGGACGTGTTTCGTCCACCGGCAGTTGATTGACGTCACTGAGCAGGGTCTGGGAGGCCGCGCCCGCCGCTGGAGGAGCGAGAACAGCGAGCGGTCAGAGCAAGGCATCCTCGTAGCGTGGCGTGCGAAGAGGCTGACAACACAGCCGTTTACAGGCTCATACAGGAGCTGAGAAGTACCTAGCAGTTTTGCATCAGCTTCACTGCGCACCTCTCAGGCCGTATCGGTTAGCACTTCGCCCTTGTTTCATATTACTCTTACTCCACCTCACGTCCTCCAGCGAGGACATTCTGTCAATAGCAGTCCCCACTTCGACTCGACCACTTCCACCCCAGCTCCCCTCTCCCTTCTCTTCCACTGGCTGCCCCTCCTCTCCTCACCCACCATCCCTATCTCCCATTCGCTACCTCTTATCCTACTCACTCCCCCTCGCCGCCCCTCCCTCTCACTCACCCTCCCCCTCGCCGACGTCCCCCAGTCCGTCCAGCACGGCCGTCTGCTCGTCGTCCTGGCTTTCGAGCAGCACCCGCAGCCGGTGGACATAGGTCACCACCACCTGGACCACCTTCTGCAGGAGACGGTGGGCGCCCAGGTCGGCCGGCCGCTCGGCCACTGAGCGCACACTGCCCGGCAGCTGCGACACGGCTGCCGACACACGCACAGGGGAGAGGTAAGGGTGAAAGGGCCATGGTTATACGGTTGTGAAACAGAAAGGTAAAAGGCCACGAGACGGCAATTCAGATTCAATTTGGGATTTAGTCAAATAAATTGCTTATCATCATCATCATGATCTTCCTCACGACGCTTAACTCTTAAAAAAGCGACGCCGAGTCGATGAATTATGGGCTATGGTGGAGACATGCGTGGATGAATAGCATTGCTCTTCAAATACCTAATTACAATATGCATCAAAAGACTCCTTTGCATTACATTCACGCATGCAAGTTTTTGAGATAAAAGAACTTCGGACTATCCGTTTTGATCAAAGTTAATGAACAACTGATAGCCGACAAAATCTGCTTCACTCGTTGGGAAGGTAACTACTCCCAAAGCGTGTGCCCCTGTGAGCAATCGCCATAATTCCTTGATTATATAAAGTAGGTACTGATATAGCAGCCCGTGACTCAGCGGCCCGTGACTGACCTCTATTGACGAGCAGCACGGCCTCTGTGATGTGCGGGAAGCCGCGAACCTGGTCCATCATGAACTGGCCCAGCCGCAGGCCCAAGCTGATCACCTTGCCGGCCAGCTCCAGCAGCGGGTCCGTGACCTGGTCGTACAGCATGTCCTTCATCCGGGCGGCCAGCGCCGTCTGCGCCGCCTCCACCGCCTTGCAGAAGGCCAGCGGGTCCATGATCTGATCCAGACAGTCGCGCACCTCCATCAGCGTGAGCCGCCAGCGGTCGCGGATGGCCGCCAGGTGCTGGCGCGCCGCCGGGTCGTTGGGCGCCGCGCGCAGCAGCGTCGCCGCCGGGTACACCTCCGGCTCCAGGGTTTCCAGCATCAGCAGGCCGGCGCGGATCAGTGTCAGCTTGTCGGCGTCCGTGGAGCAGGCGGTGGCCAGTCCGCACACCTGGAACACCCGGTCGGCGGCCAGATCGTGGCCGACCACGACCCACTCCAGGTCCGGGCCGTCGGGCGCCTCGCAGCTGGCCGCGCGCACCAGCGCGTCCAGCTGCTGGGTCGGCTCGGTAAACGTGTCCACGATGAGCCGGAGCAGCGCACTGTTCACTAGGTGCTCGGCCAGTTCCAGCTGGTCGGCCAACAGCTGACAGGCGAGGACAAACTCGCCGCGGCGCTCGGCGGTCACTCCCTGCAGACTGGCAGCGGCACTGAACTGCTCCAGCACCTGCTGACAGGCGCGGCTCACCCGCTCGCCCTCACTGCCCCCCGCACACTGTCCCACGGCCAGCGCGTGCGCCAGGAACTCCTCCAGCAGCGGCTGCGCCTGCGCGGCGAACCCCGGCTGCGGACAGCGCTCCAGCAGGCGCAGCAGGCCGTCTGTGCTGCGCACGAAGCCGCCGTCGGCGGCGGCGGAGTCTCCGGGCCGGCGGCTGTCGGTAGGGGTGCAGAGCAGGTCGGCCGCCTCTGCTGCCGACTCGGTCAGGCCGCGCACCGCCAGATCCAGCGGCATCTGAACGGAGGGGGGAGGAGGGCGGGGTTATCATTACAGATCACACACATAGTCAGGGCCAATACTTTACATTAGGGTATGCTGGGAAACACACCAAAAAGATAACCAGAAAAACCATGAATGCAAAACAAAAGAGATGAAGATAAAGCAGCATCAAATGTCCAAAGCTTGCCAAAATTATGAACAGAATCGAATATGTCAATCTTCTAGTATTGACCAGCCATACAATATATTATCCTAAATGCATATCCATAGCCGTACGCTGTCCGTCCCCTTCTCAATCCCACACATCACCATGCCCAAGGCGTTCGGGAGTCGCCTCACCTTCGCGTATGAGTTGAGTGGGTGGACACAGCGGCAGACGGCGGCGGCCGGCAGCAGTTGCGCGCAGAGCAGGATGTGACGCAGCTGAGCGGCCAGCAGCCGGCGTGAGCGGTCACAGGGCAGCTCACCGCCCAGCTGCTGGCACAGCTCCACGAACCGGCGCAGCTCCGAGACGGCCACCTGGCCGTCAGAGGGGCGGACGGGGAACGGTGAAGCTAGTAGCAGTTTCGGACGCTATATGGGTCCTGTGTGAACGCTGTATGGGGCAATTTAGGACTTTTACTTTTACTTATTTAAGATTTTCATATTTCAACCAGTTTTCCGAATACGTCCGACATGTTTGTCACTTATCCGTCCGATTTCCGAATCGGAAGTCGGATATTTTCGAAATTCCAAAATTTTCTGTTCCGATTGACACCACTTGTATTGCTAGTCAGACGGCGGACGGGGAAAGGTCCGTCAGCTGGGAAACCCCGGGTCGGAGAGAAAAGGAAGCGACCGGATGGCAGATACACAGGAGAGTGTCTAAACAGAGGCCAGAGTACATTAAGCTACTAAGTAGGTATCCATTCTCATCAGACCGTGGACAGGAGCCAACAAAACTGCTCTATCTTCACCTGAGAGCCTGCCACCTTCCCGTACCTTGACGGCCGGCTGGAGCCGCTGCACGCTGCCGACGTGCCCCAGGTCGGAGAGGGCGGCGCCCACCTGTCGGCGCGCGGCAGCCACCTGAGCCGAGCTGAAGCCGTCCCACCAGGCCAGCACGGCCGCCGTGGCATCGCACAGACGGCGGACGGCCTCGCTCAGACGGCCGGCCGCCGCCGCCGCGTCGTCAACGTCGAACTGGGGGAGCGTGAGAGGGGAGAGGGTGATAGTTTAGCAGAGGACGGCAGGGTGGGGTGGAAGAGTGGTATGTTGGCGTGCAAGAGTGTGCCGCAAAATGGTGCCAGGGGCGTGAGAACGACCGCTATCACATTTGAGACACTGTCAATGGCATAACCGATATACAATTTTTCTAGATATGGGCGCTCAGCTTACAGGAACTACCAAGTAAAAACAGTGTAGGGTGAAGTCGTATAAGAGTACGCACTTAGTGGATTTCTTGCTCTCATTTGTTTAATATTTGAAAGAAAGAAATCGCAAATAGGGAATATTAAAGGTCATTGAATTAGCCATCAACCCATGGGGCAACGATCCTTCAGCGTAAATGGAAGTGGTCTAAAACTGACATTTTCTGAACCGCTGCAGTTGCGTACTCTTACCATATGGGGTGTGTAAGAGTACGCACGCCAGGCGGGTGGAGTACGCAAGCATATGAACACACACCTATGCAGCTGGTACTGTCCAAATGCTTAACTTCAAACTCAGAAGGCATTTAAGTTAATTCTAGTATCCAAAAAGAAAAACAAAATAAATCTTTCAAGTCTATAAATAAGGAAATAATCATGTCGTGTGTTTCTTAAAAAATTGCACAATCAAAAGGGAGAATAACTCGTATTTGGAAGAATTTCGGGTACGCATCTGCATCACAGTGCTCCGTTGATGATATACCTACAAAACAAACGTCATTGAGCGATAGATTAATAATTTTATATTTCTGTATATTCGATTTAATGTATAATAATTCTGCGTAGGTACTCTTACCCTCCTGAACAGTGCGTCCTCTTACCGTACATGCAATTCGCGCACAAAACAACCCCGAAACGTTGTGCAAAACTTCGCAAACAGAATATTGCACTGCACAGTATATCCCCAGATAACCTAACAAGTTTCCCACAACAATCACGGAAATGTACCTTATCTCAACTGCCAAGTATCAAAATTATTGTACCATACCATAATAATATCATAACGCTCGAAAATAATATTCATCGCCTTAAACTCAACAGCGTCGCCGCTCAACGCCCACGTTCCGTTGGTGACAAACACGCACTGGCGGCTTCATGTCACTTCATGAACTCGACCAACCCGCGTTGCTAGGCAACCGAAACAGCTGATGCGTACTCTTATCGCCCGCGTACTCTTACCCGCCCTTACCCTACTAAAAAAAACGTACAAAAATAGCAATAACTACCAACACTTGCCAGAGCACACTGTACGGTGTATACCTCATTCCAGCTGTGGCCTACCAGGCTCAGCATTGTGTCTTCACTCCACAAGGCTCCTCGATCCCCATCCGTGTGTTTCCCATACCAGCCCAGCCCCTTCCCATATTCCCCTCCGCCGTCTCACCCTGGCCTGTCGCGCCGCAGTAACCATCTGCTGGGCGGCCGCCAGGAGCGCTGCCGCACTCTCCTCGGCACCCGACTGCCGGCGCTCCTTCATCCAGCGTTCCAGTTCCTGCGCTGTGGTCAGCACTGCCGAGCAGGTGTCCTGGACGCGGGACTCGGCACCGGCGGCCGGCCGCAGCAAGGAGAGACGCTGAGCCTGATGCAGGGGGGGGGGGGGCGGCGGTAGAGAGAGGGGTAATGGGGTGGGGGAGTTGCTTATAGAAGGAGGGAGGGGTTAGAGACTAGGGGAGAAGAGATAATGGGAAGAGAGGGAGGGGTAATGGGTGGGAGTTGCTGCGCCTTATGGAGGGAGGGGGGTTAGTTAGAGAGGGATGGTTAATAGGGGAGAGAGGGTGGACCTGGGCAAGTGCTATGGAGGTACTAGTGAGACTAGAGTATTTTGTGAGACAGAGTTGGTGGAATAGGATGATTGGTGAGACAGTACTGGTGATACAGTGCTGGTGAGACAGGGCATTAGTGAGACAGAATATTTGTGAGACAGGATGGCTAGTAATGCCAGGTGCCTAGTGAGCTTAGACTCAGGATGTGGCGCTCAACTTGTACCAATGTAACAATGACTAAAGAAAAAATGTCATGGGATAAGTGAAACAAGACTGCCTTGGGCTCTCCAATAGAGGGGAAAGGGGGAGGGAGCTGAGAAAACAAGTCACCAGCAACCAAAATGTTGGGGACATACCTACTGTTTTTTTTTTAATATTTATTTCATTCCTGTACACATATGTAATCCCGGGGACATACTGTATTCCCGCCCCCCAATTATCAGCTAAAATCTACTCTGCTTCTTGACATCAAGAGCAGAACACACACAGACCCTCCTAAGAAAGAAAATCTGATTGCAACTTCAACACGTAACCTATTGCTATGCTATTTTATTTTCACTATTTTGTTGTTTGATGTCATTCCAGTGATTTTAACATTTTTCTTTCCTTCTAGTGTTTTGTTTACCTATTTAAAATAACAGAGCAAATGATTGTTATAAACAGGGCTGCGGAGTCGATGGATTTTCGGCGACTCCGACTCCGACTCCGACTCCGGCTTTCAAAAACCAGCTCCGACTCCGACTCCGACTCCGGGCAGAATTGTCGACTCCGACCGACTCCAACTCCCGACTCCGACTCCGCAGACCATAGCAGGGCTGCGGAGTCGACAGATTTTCGGTGACTCCGACTCCAACTCCGGCTCGGGTTTCTAAAATCGACTCCGACTCCGACTCCGACTCCGGTCACAACTGTCGACTCCGACCGACTCCGACTCCGACTCCGACTCCGCAGCCCTGGTTATAAAAAGCAAAATATTGCAACTTCTAACTTCTCACCATTGATGCAAGCTCTGATATAAGCTGAGAAGTTGTGGCAAGCATCTTGATAACAATATGTTTTCTGAAAAGGAAATGTTTTTCACAGTATTGGTGATTAGGCACCTACTGATTTAGATGCCTTAAGCACTAAGCAGGTTCCAAATTGTTAACAAAATCTGAAGCAAAATGGAACACAGCAACATGGGTGGAGAACATGCCCCGGCCACCCCGGCCGTGGCCGGGGTAACTTTCAGCCGACCCCGGCACGGCCGGGGTAACTTTTTCCACTTTTGTAAATCCTTAAAGCTGTCTCCATACGAAAAAAACTGCCGTCTGTAAAAGCGTCTCCCATTATTCTTATCTACCTTGAAAAGTTCTTGAAAATGTACTTTATTTTCATTTTGGAGCTTCTATGTTTTAAGTCTTTTCATTGCGGAGCCCGACATGTTTCATCAAAAAGAAGTAAATCATATTTAAGGGCCGTTTTCGTAAGATGGCACTGTAATAACATCGCAAGACAGGACGAGGGTAATATCAGTGAGATAGAAGGACGAGCTGCTGGCCGGTGGGGCTCAAGGCTCCCCCAACTTAACACGCGCAAGGTTTTGGCCTTATCGTAACACGTTGAGTCGAGAGGTGGGCTTTTCACGCTCCTTCTAACTCGGCTACTGGGCTACGAGGCGAGAAGCGGAACGACGTTTGAAAGAACGAAAAACGTGATAAGAGAAATCTGGTCATGTTTTAGGCAAGCTCAATAATAAAATCACCATAGATCATCAAAAGCCAAATTTCTCTGATTTTAGCGTTCTCACTTCTCCGACAACTTTTCTCACAGTTCATGAACATAACGGAGCTTAAACACTGCAAACAAAGATTCGATTACTCGTTTAAGGTTCGGTCGCGAATAATATTTCATGGTGCGAGCCAGGCGCGGATACAAGGGGGGGGCCATGGGGGCCATGGCCCCCCCTTGGCCGATTTTTTTTCAAAAATAAAATAAAAAGTTAAAAAGCTGAAAAGGGGGCCTCCTGAAAATAAAGTGGCCGAAATCCGATGAGTTTTTTTTTAACCTACCCACTTAGTTATTTCTTAGAAGACTAGCTGAGAAGACTTCTTTGTTAGAAGATTGGTAAAGCTTTTCATAACTTGGAGGTCTCTTATACTCACAGAGATGACCACTTTTACAGGGCCTCCTAACCTGCACAAAGGGCCTCCAAGCCTGCACAGATGTCCTAACAAACACAAAATCTCTTAGCCTACACAGAGGCCTCCACTCGCATCCGAACAAAGGGCCTCCTAGCCAACACAGAGGGCCTCCTAACTCACACAGAAGGTCTCCTATCCTGCACAGAGGGACTCCAAGCCTGCACAGATATCCTCTTCGCCAACACAGGACCTCTTAATCTCCACAGAGGGCCTCCACTCGCATCCACACAAAGGGTCTCCAAGTCTGTACTGAGGGCCTGCGCTCGCATCTGCACAGAGGGCCTCCTAGCTATCACAGAGGGCTTCCTAGTTCACATACAAGGCCTCCTAGCAGGGGCGGATCCAGGGGGGCGATAGGGACTATAGCGCCCCCCCGGGCGACTTTCTCATTTTCTTTTTTTTTGCAAAAAAAGCATGATAGGGGGCCCCCAAAAATAAAGTGGACGAAATCCAGGCTTAAACTTTTGGGGGTAGGTAGGGCCCCCATCGATGGGGGGCCCCCGATTCGGAATAGCCCCTCCCTTGGCAAAATGCTGGATCCGCCCCTGGTGCGAGCTCAAATCAATAAGAGGGTCAAAACGGTCAAATTTGACATTTTGTTTTGCGTGAGAAGGTTGCAACTTCCACGGAATAAGCTTTGCAAAGGGCATGCTGGCATTTTTAGCACGAACATCCAGCAAATTTGACCTGATGACCTGACCTAGCACTATATAGGTGACATGCGTCCGAAATTTTAAGGCGTGTTGCAAAATTGTTGTTACAATTGCGAAATCTTCCGCACCTGCGTGCAGCAGTTTTCCCTAAAAACGTACAAACGGCAGACATCCATTGTTCTATGCCACAAAATAGGGGTTTGTTGATAACCGTTGACAAATATTTGAGCATCATCGTCTTTCTGACTTTCGGTCGCCGGCCGGGGTAACTTTTTCAAACATTCTCCACCCGTGCACAGCAATCAGCAATGAAACACCAAATAATGGACAAGGGTGAAAAGAGGGCACCTGGGGTGATTTGATCAAGGCTCTTGAAACTTACTCACACAAAACACGTGACAATCACTGTGTAGAAGGCATCGAGAGGGAGAGAACTTCTCAATAGTCACGTGACCAAATATGCCCTCCGAGTCCGGTTCGGCGCCCTGTTTTCACCGGCATCCCAAATAACCGGTACCTAATGTAGCTACTACATGTACATTGTTCAACAGTTCACATTGATAACTACCATTAATATGGACAAGAACATCAATTAACAAGGGACTGTTCAGTCACTGCTCATTTCAGCAAGCTTGACCTACAGCTGTTATTGGGGGTGCTTCTTGTTCATGTTCCCATTGTTGAATTCATGTTGATGTGGTTACTCTGACAAACCACAAAAAGCTACAAATGAACTTATTCATATGGGAAGACTGGCAGCATGATGATAAGAATGACACAAGCAGCACCCAGGTTTGGGGCAGTACAACTACCAGTGCCAGTGTGAAGCGGGCATACTTCACCTGAAATATTTAACCAATTATGGAAGGTATATAGGCAGTACTTCTAATAAAAAAATATTGTAACAAAACTTGGTTCATAGCAGTCACGGGTCAACTAACCTAGCATTTAACTACTAGCTGAATTGAAATGAACAAGAAATTGAAATCAGTGAAAAAGCAGCAGCTAGAATCGCAAAATACGTCTATAGCAACCGCATTATCAAATATCATGCTCAAAAATACAAAACCAACCAAAGCCACACAGACAGCCAACTTACAAAAATTCATTAAAATTGCCTACATTTCAACAAACACTTCCATTCAATCAATTTAATTCAAATCAGTCGGGGAAACTATGGTAAAATCTGCTATTTTTAGCAGTCTGCTATTTTTAGCAGAAATCTGCTAAAAATGGGTACGCATGTGACGTCATCGTACCCAAATATAGCAGATTTGGGTACGGCCCCATACAAAAGCAGATCTGCACCCTAATTGAAGCAAATGCGCATCAAATGCTTGGCAGATTAATGGTGAGAATAGTGCTGAGAGTGTTCTCTGCTATTTTTGTTCAGATCCGACTATTTTCAAATTCATTATTTGAAAATAGTCGGAACTGAACAAAAATATCAGAGGACATTCTCAGCACTATTCTAATCATGAATCTGCCAGGCATTTGATGCGCATTTGCTTCAATTAGGGTGCAGATCTGCTTTTGTCGGGGGGCTCCATATCAAAGCATACAAAATCTTATCATACAATCATCAAAACATACAAAATCGTAACATACAACGCGCAAAACCTACAAAACAGGCCGGGTAGGGGACAGTCAAAACATACAAAAGCGCAGCATACAAAATTGTGTCATACAAAATCGCAAGGTACAAAATCGTTTCACACAAAAAGGCAGTGGAAAATTAATGGCATTAATCAAAGTACGCATCATACAAAACCATTTCATATAAATTTACATCATTTCGTCGTCCTTGAGATGTCAATTTTCAGTTGGATCAAAACATACAATCTCAACCGCGCCTCAAGCGACATCTTTGTTAGAAGTTTGTGTAGTTACGAAATATTCCACTAGATGCCTCCTCTGTCAAAGCACAGCCAAGCTTTGCACGGCCAGCGTTTTTTGCTTGTTTATACAGTGAGCGCCGGTCTCGGAGCGACGGGGCGTCCCGGTGGCGCCGTCGTCCCCCTCCCTCAGACTGGGCAAGGTCTCCCCTCCCTCGGCAGACGGCGCGGCCCCAGAGGAAACGGCCAAGGCCGTGCCTGACTTACATCCCCGCTCTCTGCGGGCCGGAGAACGAAGTTGCGCTTGGTACATTGAGCAGCATTCTGCTCATTTTGACTATAGCTGCCGGAACATAATTCGTAAATTAAATTGAAAACTGCGAAAGAAATTTAACTGACTTAACCCTCGCCCGTATAGGGGGGGGGGTCGAACGGACCCACACCCCCATGGTTTTTCGCGAATAACTCGCGTAAAAAGCGGTTGATCGCGATGAAACTTTCAGTTATGTCGAGTCAATCAATTGTACACTTACCCTTAAAAGTTCATGACCCTGTCCCAAATGAACCTTGACCTGTGGCCTATTTTTCGAGACCATGTTTGGCCGGAATCGCGATTCGGCGTATGTCGGCTCGTATTAGCCGCGCGTTTGCAGTATTTTTGCGGTTTCAAGCGTTCAAACATGTGATATGATGTTGGTCCCATGCATTATGGTGGGTGTCAAGGTCACCTGAAGGTCAGGTCAGATCATTAACCTTTGATGACCTAGGTTCACTTCTTCGAGTTCTAGGCTACTTTTTGGAGCTGATTTCGAATTAAGCAACCATTTGAGCATTTACGAAGTTGTTTTGGTGTCTTCGTAACATGTTACGAAGCTGTCAGTAACGGCTGACACGTACTATGAATACCTGGCAGGACGTCTACTGATTGGCCTGACCTGACCCGGCCTAAATGCATTAACCCTCGCCCTGGCAGGGGGGGTCGATGCGACCCCCCCCCTAAGGTTTTTCGAAGATAGCGTAAAAACGGCGGCGCGCAGCGCCGCCAAATTTGGCACAGCCTATGGGGCAACCTTTTTACATATGACCTGAAAATTTCAGGTCCGGGTGACCTTGGGTCAGGTCACCAGGTCAGAAAAACCGGTACAAGGTCATGGTCAAATTTCAATTTTCTTCAAGCACCTGTCCAACTCACAGTTTTAGACTGATTTCCTTCAAACTTTCAGGATGTGCTAAGTTCACCGAGTTGTATAACATATAGTCCGGCTTTTTTGAGGTCACTGACCTGAGGTCAGTTAGAGGTCATTACGTCGTAATGTTAAGCCTATGGGAAAATACTAAATTCGGAAAATACTGGAGATATCCGCTTCGTTCTATCACTTTTGTGCTTTGAAACCACGGTACTTAACAGCAGGTCACTTGGTGCTTCTTTGTTTGGTGTACTTATCCATGGGTCAGGTCAAATGAGGTCAACTGAGGTCAAATGACGTTTTTGCCAATAACTTGGCACATAATGACGCTAGAGCTTAAAAAATGGTATCATTGTGTTCCTGGTGATCAGCCGAATCGATTGATATGCGATATGATGCAATTTGGTTAACTTGAACTTAATTTATTAATTTAAGTTTACTTAAAATTTAAGAAAAACTTTAAGTACACTTAATCAAGCTAAAAAGTATATCATTCGACGCGCCTTGACGTGCTGAGTTCACTGGTGCTTTTCTTTTTGCTCTATCTTAATTAGATCAAAAGTTATAAGCGAAAAACTTTTGACCTGTTTTTAGCGAAATTTTTACATTTATACCCCCCAAAACCCCCCTAAATATTGACCTAGAGCAACCAAATTTGCACAGAGGCGAGAAATCCAGGGGGCCCACCTACCTACCAAATTTGGTGTTTCTAGGTGCCATAGGAGCCAATCGCGAGGGGGGGTCGCATCGACCCCCCCCCCTGCCAGGCCGTGTTATGAAAAATGCCCTGCCAGGGCGAGGGTTAAGACATCATCTGTGATCAAAACTAACACGATATTCGTGATCAGCACCCCGAAAAACCCTCATCAACCTCACTTTATGATGTTCTAATAGGTCCCGATTTTCCAGACTTGTGGGTCATTGACCTGACCTGGAAAGTCAACCAATGACCTAGGACCTTAAATTTTTTCTCGAAGCTCTAGCTCGATCAGGGGCCAAACGGCAAGGGGGCGGTCCAACGGACCCGCCCCCCCCTATACCTTCGAGGCTGGCAAAACACCAATACGGGCGAGGGTTAACCCGGCAGTTGCTGGAGTATTTCGCCACACACCACTTGCTGGGTGGGGGTGGGAGAGGGGGGTAAACTTTCCCAGCCCATAGCTCGAGAACCCATAGCCCATAGCCCATAGCTCGAGGCGCAGCGAAACGGGCGAGGCAGCAAACAAAATAACGCTACAAGAGGCTTCTGATGAGTACCTTCAAGTGGAGTTCCGAGGTCACAGGTCGGTTCAAGATTATTTTGAATACCTGAAATTAGGCGCCCGGCTGGGGGTCCTGGATTTCCACGCCCTGCTGGGGGGGTGTTTGAACACCCCCCCCCCTTGTAACTCGGCTCCTGGGCCACGTAGCGATACGCAGAAGGCGGCGTTCGAAAGAGCGTCAAAAATAATGACGAAATCGCTTCGGTCAATTTTTTGGTCAGGTCAAAGGTCAGGTCACCAGAGGTCATTGAAGGCAAAATTTCGCCGATTTCCAGGTCGAATGTCGAAAATTTCCAAGAAGCCAGCGCATGACTCGGGAACCAATAGAGCTACAGCGCCGCGGAAAAGCGCATTCGATAGCCCTATTAACCCTCGCCCGCACATGCCATTTTCCCATCCTAGAACGCACATGGGGGGGGGGGGGGGTGGTTGCCACCCCCCCGCGCCATTTCGTTCCTGTTGGAGATAGAGCTTAGCAGTAAAGACCAAAAAGATTCTTTGGGAAGAGACGAATCCAATGATACCCAGTTTTACCTTCTCAGGTCAGTCATTGACCTTCCAGGTCAGGTCAAACTAAAAAATGTTGCTGTTTTGGGTCACCGTTGGATATCAAGTGCGCTGCTTATCAAATACCGATGACGATGCTGTTTTCTGGTGCCAAGCCAGCTAGAACCTCTTTGTCACACTATCCGACCAGAATTTTGCTGCTGAGGTCATTTCAGGTCAAGTTAGGTCAAGGTCAATTATATGTGTTTGTATGTCTGTGTGTGTCTGTGTGTATACTGATGTGTGCACCGATTGTTTTTGGGTCCATATCACATGAAATCATGATCTGAGAAGCTTTTACCAAAAATGCAGTCAAAAAACTTCACAAAAAGTAAATTCAGCTTGCCTAAAACGCAATTATCTTAGATGACCTAGGTTGACCTTGACCCTGACCTTGACCCCTGTACATCGTCGAACAACATGTTCCATGAAAGGTGGGAGGTAGGGTAGCCTGGGGCAAGACGCCCCAGATAATTTATTTTGCTACATAAATTTTGTCCCACATCACCTGGAAGGCCAACTTTGTGCTCAATGCGTTCTTTGGACATTTTACTTTAAATTGCACCCCTCAAATTCATTCACTTATGATCGGACTCCAAGCTAGGAAGTGATTTGTGAAGCAACTGCAAATGGGGCATTTTGCCCCAACCCCAGGGCAAAACGCCCCACGGCCTGGGGCAAGTAGCCCCATACTTTAGATTACAGATTTAACATGGTAGTTGGCTTAATCTTATGTGAGAGGTCCGTTAGACCTCTGGAGGCACGGCTCTGAAGTTAGCACATTCCATACTGTCAGGTGTTCAGCTATGACACTATTGTATGAGCAGGTTTTTCACCTGCCTCATAAGACCAAATAATAAATTATTGCAATGCAAATGTTTACAGAATACTTCCTTTGCCATCCAGTTGCTGAGAAAAATACACATAAAGGCATAGAAACTTACTGTTCGCCAGCTACCGAACATTAGAAAGTGGGTAGCCCGAACAACACATGAGGTAAAACGCCCCATGGGGCTTTTTGCCCCGCGACCTACTGGGGCGTTTTACCCCACCACGTAGTTCGGTCAGAGAACAACGCTTTGCACTCCAGCAAGACATAATTTAACACGAACCAACCCGGCATGATAAGCGCTAGACAATAGTTGTTCAAAATACATAAAAGTCGTTAACCTGATGTGGACCATAAAAGAACGCCATGATGCATAATCTGACAACAAAACATAAAAATCACTCAAAAAACACATTTTTGGCTATATCTCCCGAAAGAGTCATCACAATTTCTTTCCAG